GGCGTTTGTCATCCTAATTCGCATAAAATGATGCCTAGACTGACAGTGATATTATTAGGCCACAGGATTCCGTTGCCGACAAAAAGGCTTTCACCTACAGGCTGGACTGGGTTTTCGACCTGGCCTCATTGTCTCATAAGTGACATAACGGGACTCGGAACATGATTGTGCATGTCTTGGAAAAACCCAACTACCCCCCTAGGCAGCTAAAAGTGCCAGTATGTCACGGTGAAAATGTGATTTTTAGAATGTTAGAAGGATTGCCGTTATGGGAAGCATAACTACCATTAAAATAGATAAATGCACTTAAAATTGGTATGGATATGATTCGAAATCTTTTGTGAAGCACAATTAAGTGGCAGTAAATCGCATTATGTGGGCTACTCATATGATTGGGGAAAAACTCCACTATCAGTATGTAAATTACATGCAATAGCTAGGCCTTTTTCAACAATTACTGACATTTTAGAAGCCTACTTGCAGTGAATATAAGTAATGTTGTGAAGCGTAATTTCAAATATATAGTCGCCTGATCGAAAATCTCACCGCTGAAGTGTGATTTGGAAGTTTACATCGAAGCTATGCTACCCACTTGTGCTCTAAGTGTATTACGATTCTTATTATCTGAGACTCTTGCTCTTTCCTATCGTGTTAATGGCTAGCCTATTGAATGAGCAATAAAATAACTGCTTTACAAAAAAAACAAAGGCCTCAAGTCCTAACCTTTGCTGACTTGAATTGTACGTAGGTTCTCAGGTAGTCGTACAGATACCCTGTCCCGGTGTCCGCCCATTCGGTCTGGTAGGTAACCATGATGGCCAGACAGGGAAATTCAGAAGAACTCTTCAGGCATTTATTTTCACAACGCATAAACTTGTTCCTGTTAGACTGTGAGGCAGAATAGCGGCATACGGCTTTGATAAACTTACTCTCCTCTCGATAGGGCACCATAATCAGATGACCAAGAATGCATTCAATAATGACACCACCAGTGAACAGGCTGGCACAGCCGATGTAGATGAACTTGGAGAGGCCAGAATCATTGCATTTCCGACCGAGGGTGTTGCCTCCCAGCAGAGCGATTGTCATTTTTGCCGGGCTTCTACGAGCCCCGGTCGTCCTTGGAGCATGGACTCAACTGTGATGTTATATGTCCAGTGGAGGGAAATACTTCGGGGCAAAGATTTATTGGTCAGTAAGAGGAAACTTGGTCTGGAGGTCGAGAAGAGACGAGCATATACTGGGCATCTGGGATTCCCTTACGATGCGTGTACCTGATTGTTTTGAAGATCCAGAGGGCGGTAGTAGTTTGATGGATGGGCTGAGGAGAGTGGATTGGAATGGAGCTGATGACCGGCCTAATTGGCCAATCGCTTTCGCCACTTTTCATTGGTCTACCAGTTGCCTAAAAGGAACTAGCAAGTAGAAAATCGGGGCTGGTCACTGAAAGAGTGAGGTAGGATAAAGAAGAGTAAAAATGACCTACCGAAACCACTTAAGCTGGTGCAATTTGCAAGTCATTCGACACCAAACTCGAACATGTAACAACCAAAAACGAAGTAGTTAGGTAGTAGTACTGTGGGAAAATTGTTTTATTATTGTGAAAACCTTCATTTCGCATGAAAGTGTATGATAAAGCAAGTCATAAGTCGATCCCCGTTTTTCTACAGCCATGTTTAGCTTTGATACGATGTTTATGTTGAAGCACTCATTGGTTGTGTGTGAAAGCGGGCTGATCTGTCGTCCTTCCTGCCACATGACCGACATCGTCAGGGCTGAAATTCATTCATGCAACAGCCTCACATTAACCTGAACCAACCGTCGTCTTTTGGTAAGGATTTCTTTTTCATGCCTTTTCATAAGAAACGGAAGTCTCCACGACAATAAAACCATTTTTCTGTAGCATTACCACTAAATTTCTTCTTTTATGATTGTTGCCGGTTAACATTTGAAATTGAATGAATTGCTAGTTGTAACGGCTCAAGTAGTTTCTGCAGGTTATTTTTAGTCTCTTCCAAATTGCCATTTCTACGAAATGAAAGTCCCCATAAGAAAATGATTTTGTATTAACAGAGCAATTGCGATACTCATTGAAGCTTTCGTTTTATGTGAACTGGTAAGTAGAGGGGATTCATGACTTGGCTGGCTTATTTGGTTGAATTATGTACATGATTCACAGGTGCACCGTTTTGCGACTCTGAAACCCATCTTTGCTTCATATACTTGTAGTAAATTAGTTCTATAAAATGGACATGTCCTGGCCTGGAAAGACGCTTACAAAGAGAATATGAGTTAGCAACAAGTAATCTAATTATTGAGATTCATTCTATCCTTTACTCAGCCGTACCCTCCATGTCCAGTGATTTATCGAATAAAAACGAAGAGTAACTGGATTTCGATGAAGCTCTTGAGAAAACATTGCTGAAGAGACTTTCAATTCGTATGAAAGTGCATGAAAAAGAGACTCGAAGGTTGATCTCACCATGAGGCGACAGCTGGGTCCCGATGTACTGCAATCGTTTGGCTATAATACGACGTTCAGGTTGGCGCAGTTCACGAGATATCCTCCCTCGTTTCGCGTGAAAACTGGCTGAGCTTACGTCCATCATATGATGGGCATCATCGGAGCTGGAACTCATTCTTGTAAAAGTATCAAGTTAATACTAGGTCAAGAGGACTATCCGGCTCCAGCTTATCTTTTAAATAGACTCAATTAAAATTAAATTAAATTAAATTAAAAGGCCTAGATAGATATAGAATGGTTTGGCTAATTATCTTTCGTGTTGGTCCTGCTACTTTGCTTCGAGTGTCTACATGTTTGCATGTGTACGTGTTGACGTCTATACGCAATACCAATCCTAACTCAAAGTTATTAAAAATTCTAATATTAGATGTATTCATTCTATTTCGTGTAAGGCGATGAAGGACTGGTAGTAGAATTTTCCCACAATGGTATGAGTAGAGCTGAAGTTTTCATTGAATTTCACATAGCCTTGTTTTCCCAAAAGTCGTTCTCATCCAGACAGAAGTGGACTGCAGTTTCGACCTCGCATCGGTCTTATCAACACCTCCAGCGGGAGTCGAACCGTGACTCTGAAAAGACCGATGCGAAGTCGAATCTGCCGTCCACCCTGGATTAGAAAAACTTTTTGGACAACAAGGAAATGTGAAATTTACTAGAAACGTCGTCTCTACTAATATCATTGTGGGAAAATTCAACTACCAGTCCTTCATCTCCTTAAACGAAATAGGGTGAATACCTCTCTTATTACTGATTTACTGCTAGTCTCGAAACTCTACTCCAATACGAAAAAGTCTAATGTCAGGCTCTGGTAATCAAGGCTCAATGAACTAAAAATAACCTTGAGAAAGTATGATTGAGATAATGTGATGTAAGCTTATAAGCATTCAAGTTAGGTTACGAAACCACCTGTCCTAACCTCTCAGTCTAGGGTCATCAAGGTTTAACCATTCAAGGAAAGCCATGACTGGGGCTGCGTACTCTTTGGTTGATGAGCTTATTCTAACATGTTGGACAAGTGTGAGTGAAGTTAGAACCATCAACGAGCAGACAAGTTGAGTCGCCTTCTTTTGGATGGAGGCTCAACACCATCTGCCTCTTTCAATCTATCAATCATAAGTAGTTTTTAGAAGTGGGTTGACCTCGTTGTCGCAACTTGGTCTTGTGTTCAGGGCGACTATGTAAAACGCACCTAGTCCGAAGTCGTCTGCCATAGTATTTGTCTTGTTTCCCAGCATCTGACAGTGGACTTGATACATTCTCAAACGTTTCGCCGGCATCGTAGTCGG